GAGCCTCAGAGTCACTCATGCTGAGCCCCAGCTCCCATAGTCAGGCTTGGGAGACATAAAATCATAGAATATCTCCAGTTGGAAGGGTCCTATAAGGATGAGAGTCCAAGTGGTTGCTCCTCACAGGAAACTAAAAAAAAAAACACACTAAAACTAAAGCAGATGACTGAGAGCGTCATCCAGACATTCCCTGAACTCTGACACGCTCGGTGCTGTGACCAGTTCCCTGGGGAGCCTGCTCGAGGGACTGACCATGCTGTCTCTGAAGAACTTTGTTTCTCATGTTCAACGTGAGCTTCCCCTGATTTCACAGAACTGCTGAGGCTGGCAAAGCCCTCTGAGATCATCAAGCCCAGCCCATGTCCCAACACCCCCACATGGGCCAGACCAGGGCACCAAGTGCCACATCCAGCCTCTCCTTAAACCCCTCCAGGGACGGTGACCCCAACACTTCCCTGGGCAGAGCATCCCAGTGCCTGATCAGGTGTGGGGCTGACCTCACAGTGCCCAACGTCCTCCCTGATGCAGTTTCAGGCCGGGCCCTCTCGTCCTGTCAGTAGTCGCCCGGAAAAAGAGCCCAACCCCCCCTGGCTGCACCCTCCCTGCAGGGAGTTGTAGAGAGTGATGAGGTCTCCCCTGAGTCTCCTTCAGCTGAACACCCCCAGCTCCCTCAGCCTCTCCTCGTAGGAGAGCTGGTGACCAAGAGAGGGGAGCTCAGGACCTCTCCCTCCATCAAGGAGGATGTAAACCGCGATGAGGGAACCCCTCAGCCTTCTCTTCTCCAAGCTGAGCAAACCAAGTAACTCCAGACACTCCTCCTAATTCTTGCTCTCTTCAGCACCTCGGTCGCCCTCCTCTGGACAAACTCGTGTAGTTTGATGTCCTTCTACTGAGGGACCCAAAGCTGCACACACAGGGCTCGAGGTGGGTGCAGTGTGGGACAATTACCTCCCCTAACCAGCCAGCGATGCCGTGTTTGATGCATCCCAGGACACAGTCGGTCCTTTTGGCTGTCAGGGCATGCTGCTGACAAATATTCAATTTTTCAGTAACCCAAACCCCCAGATCTCTTTCTGCAAGGGCTGCTCTCCAGTCTCTCATCCCCCAATTTCTACGTACAACCAGGATTACTCCACCCTAGGTGGAGAATCGGAGACTTGCTCCTGTTCAGTTCCATGCAGCTGGCGATTTCCCAACTCTTTACCCTCTCCAGATCTCTCAGTTAAGCTTCTCTACCCTCGAGGAATATCATCAGCAAAACACACCTCGGGCAGAGATTTGGCACAGCCTCACCCTGAGCATCTGAAGGAGCGCTCAGGTCGCAGTGCCAGCTGGCAGCAGGACCCACAGACCCCTGGGGAGCACTTAGGCTACTGTAGGCCTCTCCTGGGTAGCCACCACCTACGTGAGGGGAGACCCAAGCTCTGCCAAGGTGCCCCGATGCTGCGGGGAAGGTGGCTGGCGAGGGGCTGAACCTCCAAGGAGCAGCAGCAGAAAGCTCAGAGAGGAGGAGGAAGAGGAAACAACAAGTCCAAGACCTTCAGGAGCTGCTGCAAAAGAAGTAACATGTCCATGTCCCAGGTCACATATTTTTTGGTGGAGTAGGTCTGGGGTTTTTTTTGATACTGAGTGATCAGGCTACAGATTTTAGGCTGCAAGTCATGATCTAACACCCCTGCAGCACGGTCCCAGAAAGAGGAGCCCTCTTGGCTGCTGAAGATTTTAAAGACCCAGGCAGAAAAATATTTGCCAGGGGTCTAGAGAGGTTGAACAGATCCTTCCATTCCTCATTTCTTGTGCCTCTGGGGATGAGGGGAGGCTTCGCTCTTCGAGAAGGATCTTGGAGCAACTCTGTCACGTCAGAAACCGCCCAGCCCAGCCACCGCGGCAGCAGGTGCAGAGAGAGCAGAGCGAGAAAGGCAGCGGCCTCAGGGAGCCCTTCCTCAAGGTGGGGAGTTTGAGGCACTTTCCCGTTTTGGGGGAGGCAAAACAGCTGCAACCAACACGTTTCAGCCCCCTCCCATGACAGGGCAGGGCTCTCTCCTGGGGGGCAGCGCAGCACTAACTCACCCCAATCGTCGAGGCCATGTAATCGGCGCACATCTCGGCAAAGTCCCGCTCCAGCACCCCATAGTACAGACCGTAGAAGAGAAGGGAGATGCCAAAGTCCATCGCGTCTTCTGGTTTGATTCTACAACAGAAGAAGCCCAAATGACATCAAGAGGGGGTGGTTTTTTTGGGGGTGCACACAGCCCATGGCACTGACTCCGTCGCAAGAGAGGTTCACTGAGGCAGCTGGGATGTGGCA